TAAAGAAGTTAAGACAGCATCTAAAAGAAGTTAAGGGCCCAGGCGTGATGGCTCATGCCTGTAATTCCAGCACTTTGGGAGGCCGTGGCAGGCGGATCACCTGAGGTAGGGAGTTCGAGACCAGCCTGACCAACATGGAGAAACCCGGTCTCTACTAAAAATACAAAATTAGCTGGGCATGGTGGCGCATGTCTGTAATCCCAGCTACTCGGGAGGCTGAGGCAGGAGAATCGCTTGAACCCGGGAGGTGGAAGTTGCAGTGAGCTGAGATCGCGCCATTGCACTCCAGCCTGAGTGAAACTTCATCTCAAAAAAAAAAAAAAAAAAAAAGTTAAGCTAGCATGAGCGAAACTCCATCTCAAAAAAAAAAAAACCAAAAAAAGTTAAGCTAGCATAGTGCCTTACTGCACCCAAAGTAACTTAGTAAAGGGGTGTGTATTACTTAGAAATGAAAGTGACACAAAAGAGAACTGTGTGTAAATAAGACTGCATTGCACAGATGCAGAACCACCTGTGAAAGTGGAGGAGAGAGTAAAGGAACTGGGCCGGAATGTAAGCTCTGCCATTTAACTAGCTGTGTGACACTGGGCAAGTCACTTGCCTTCTGTGAGCCTTAGTTTTCTTATCTGAAAATAGTCATTGAAAGTGAATGAAGGAAAGCAGGTCAGGCTCCCAGTGCCCGTTCTGTGGTAAGTGTTCAATAAATGGCACCTATTATGATTGTTTTTGTTATTATCTCCATGACAGGAAGAAAGCCTGCACCCCAGGCCCATGTCTGTGCAGCTCTGCACTCACACCTGGTTCCCCTCCGCTCACCTGTTTGTCTCCCACCCACGACTGAATGCCTGGTCTGGGGAGTTGGGTTTTTCCTCTCCTTGTTGATGTGTCCCCAGTCTTCCCTTGTGCCCAGTACACAGTAGGTGCTCCATATGTGTTGAATAAACCAATTAATGAATAAGAGAATCTCTCTGTTAATAAGTAAAATATCTTCTTACAATTCACAGAACATTAAAAGAAAGCATCAAAAAAGTTTTCTGGTTACAAAACTCTCTTATATAAGGTATGTGGGTGACTGTCAATGAAATGTTGAGCACCTAATATCTTCAGGTTTTTGCTAGAAGACTGCAAGTATATTTTAATTTCCACCCTGAAGTAATTCCCAGTGTAGTTGGGCACAAAAGACAAACATGTGGAAACACACACAGTGTATGTGATTATGCCTCTCTCCGTATCATCCCACAATGCTGATAAACTCTTTTTAACACTGCAAGATTATTTGATACATAATATTACAGAAAATATCCTAAGATAGTATGGTGATTTGCCGCTGAGTTGTGGAGACCATGAATGTAATATATACAGATGAGGGAAGAATCACAGATTTATAGTGACATGTCATGAAATTCAAATAGGAAGAAGATGATTAAAAACAAATGAGATGGCCGGGTGCAGTGGCTCACGCCTGTAATCCCAGCACTTTGGGAGGCCAAGGCGGACGGATCACCTGAGGTCGGGAGTTCAAGACCAGCCCGACCAACATGGAGAAACCCCATCTACTAAAAATACAAAAGTATCTGGGCATGGCGGCACATTCCTGTAATCCCAGCTACTCGGGAGGCTGAGGCAGGAGAATTGCTTGAACCCTGTAGGCGGAGGCTGTGGTGAGCCAAGATCACGCCATTGCACTCCAGCCTGGGCAACAAGAGTGAAACGCCGTCTAAAAAAAAAAAAAAAAAAGGAAATGAGGTTTTCTGTAGGTCTTAATGTACCAACAAAGTTGTAGAGATGATAAAGTAGACATATAGTGCTTAGACACCTAGAAGACACGAGTTAAGGAAATTTTAAGACAAATGGGGCTATTTTAGTTAAATAGAAATAGGATTGTGAAGGCTCCTTCCCAATTGGGCCCCAACCTTGAAAGGTCCTCGAAGTTTAGGAAGAGTAACTAAGACAGACAGAATGGTGGGGCATTTCAAAAGCATTACTGTAAAAACTAGTAAGTGAGGCAAAATAAAGGAGTCTGATTTTTTTTTTTAAAGAAGGAACAAATGAGATAACACATGAAAGAGAAAGATTCTCAAGTGGAGAAAATAACCAGAATTAATAGTCTGCAAGGGATCGTATGATGTTTAAAAACTAAAAGTGGAAAAAAGTAGTGGCCAAGACTATAGTGGAGATTTGAAAGGTGCCTTGGGAAAGGTCAGTGCAGTCGTCTTTAACTGGGATATCTTCCTCTTTACTTCTCCACTCGTTTTACTTCAGCAGGAGGACTTTGCTGAATGGCAGAGTACAGACTTCAACAGAGGAAAGAATCCATTCAATATGTGGAGGAAACTGGGCTTTCATGTTAAAGGATAAAACCTAAATGCAAATTAGAGGAAACAGTATTGTTGGCTGGGCGTGGTGGCTCATGCCTGTAATCCCAGCACTTTGGCGAATCACCTAAGGTCAGGCGTTCAAGACCAGCCTGGCCAACATGGTAAAACCCTGTCTCTACTAAAAATACAAAAAAATTAGCTGGTGGTGTGCAACTGTAACCCGAGCTACTCAGGAGGCTGAGGCAGGAGAATCGCTTGAGCCCGGGAGGCAGAGGTTGCAGTGCGGCAAGATTGCGCCACTGCACTCTAGCCTGGGCAGCAGAGCGAGACTCTGTATCAAAAAAAGAAAAAGGAAATAATATTGTTTAAATGATAAATAGGAAGATTCCTTCTCTGCAGCATCATTGCTGACTGTGACATACTCCTTGCCTTCATTTCCCATTAAAGTTTCATTATCAAAGAACAGAAACTTGGAATTCATAATCACAAATTTCTCTGAGTTACGACTAGCTGTTCCCTTAACTGTGTTGGCTCAGTTTAATGGGCAAAAACCTGGCATGAAACATTATTCTTTATGATCCTGAAATTATTACATAATTCCTTTCATTCCTTCTGGAAAAGACAAAAGAAGCTGGCAGGCTTTTCCAATTGATAAAAGTAAACTTCACTTTATTAGTCATTATGAAACTAGGCATAAGAAAGACATAGTGACATCATGTAAGAACATTACATCTTTTTTTTTGAGACGAAGTCTCGCTTTTGTCCCCCATGCTGGAGTGCAGTGGCGCGATCTCGGCTCACTGCAACCTTCGCCTCCTGGGTTCCTGGGTTCAAGCAATTCTCCTGCCTCAGCCTCCCGAGTGGCTGGGATTATAGGCACCTGCCACCATGCCTGACTAATTTTTGTATTTTTAGTAGAGATGGGGTTTCACCATGTTAGCCAGGCTGGTCTCAAACTCCTGACCTCAGGTGATCCACCCACCTCAGCCTCCCAAGGTGCTGGGATGTACAGGCACGAGCCACCACGCCCGGCTCATTACATCTTTTTAGTATGGTGGGATAAAGTGCTATTGTGTGCAGATCGTGCTGATGGAACCATTGTTGTACCACGTCTATTTCATGAAAAGTATTACCAACTGGAATATTAGGCAGAGAATCAGTGTCTAGAAACATAGCTAAATTCAAAAGCCCCCATGCAACGATTGCTATTGGAACATAACATGGATTTTATTAACTCAAGCTAAGGCAATCGTCAGGCCAAATTTGTACTGTAAGTATTTCATCAGTGGAAGAGGAAACTAATGAATGATTCTATTCTTGAGTTCTTATATTTTGCTTGAAACTAATTCATATAAATGAAAGAAATTTTTTTCTGTAACTATATTCTCTTGGTTTAAAATAATTTTGTTTCAAGAATGCACTATACTTTTAAAAACCCCTTTGAATAAAATAGTGTTTTTTTTGTTTTGTGTGCGTGTTTTTTTTTTTTTTTTTTAGATGGAGTCTTGCTCTGTCACCAGGCTGGAGTGCAGTGGCGTGATCTCAGCTCACTGCAATCTCCACCTTCCGGGTTCAAGCGATTCTCCTGCCTCAGCCTCCCGAGTAGCTGGGATTACAGGCGCACGTCACCACACCCAGCTAATTTTTGTATTTTTTAGTAGAGATAGGGTTTCACCATGTTGGCCAGGATGGTCTCAATCTCCTGACCTCGTGATGTGCCTGCTTTGGCCTCCCAAAGTGCTGGGATTACAAGCGTGAGCCACGGTGCCTGGCCTAGTAACTGTTTTTTAGTTCAAAGCTACTCTGTAACTGAAATCTGAAATCTATTTTGACAGAATTTTCAAGATCACAAGAAGTATTTTGGATACTTCAATGTTGAATGTTTGATAGAACAATTCAAAGGAATCAGAAAAAAAAATTTCTAATCTCTTAAACTCAGATGCTTGTAAAGAGATGGCTTGATTGAGAAGAATCCTTTTCATTGAGTTGCAGTGAGTCACCTGGTGGAATTTGCTGGAATATAAGCCTACCAGGCAGTCAGGAATGTGATGGGCAGGTTTATGTCCACGTTAAGGTGTAGATTAAAACCAACAGCTCCGTTGTTAATATGGCTTTTACTTTAGTTTTTGTGGAAGAAATTTGTCTCCATTTATATTGTATTCTATATAGGAGTGCAGAACTTTTTTTTACTCATGTTAAAGTTTACTTGGTTAAGTCCCTTTTAAGAGGTGAGCATATTGCTTGGCAGTGATGTAAATATTAGGTAACGTTATTTAGAAGCACCACGGTATGCATGTACTATTTAGAAACTTAACCAACCAGAGGTTATCTGTCATTTCCTTCCTGTAATTGCCCACACCCAACTATTTCTCCATTTTGCCTCATTAAATACAGCCTTCCTCTATATCTCTCTGGGCAGAGGTTATTTTTCCCTTACTTTCCTGGACCACATATTCTCTTACTGATAGGTCTCATTAGGGATTTGTCCTTTACAGCTTTATAGTTTAGGTATTTGGGAACTTATTTCCTTTTTGAGAATGCTAACTCGTTGAAAGAACTGTGGCCGTGCCTCATCTGTGCTTGTATGCCCTACATGCTTAGCATATTTCCTTGTACATAATTTGTAGTAAACATTTATCTAATGAATAACTGGGATTTTTTTTTTTTATTCATGTATTGCAGATAACCACGGAGGCCCAGCTTCATTCAATAAGGAGCCTGAAGGATTTATCCCAGACAGTAGAACAAAAGGAAGAATATTGATGGATTTTAAACCAGAGTTTTTAAAGAGCTTGAGAATACGGGGAAATTAATTTGTTCTCCTACACGCATCTATAGGGGAAGGTTGTTTCTGATGCAGCTGAGAAAAATGCAGACCATCAAAAAGGAGCAGGCATCTCTTGATGCCAGTAGCAATGTGGACAAGATGATGGTCCTTAATTCTGCTTTAACGGAAGTATCTGAAGACTCCACAACAGGTGAGGAGCTGCTTCTCAGTGAAGGAAGTGTGGGGAAAAACAAATCTTCTGCGTGTCGGAGGAAACGGGAGTTCATTCCTGATGAAAAGAAAGATGCTATGTACTGGGAAAAAAGGCGGAAAAATAATGAAGCTGCCAAAAGATCTCGTGAGAAGCGTCGACTGAATGACCTGGTTTTAGAGAACAAACTAATTGCACTGGGAGAAGAAAACGCCACTTTAAAAGCTGAGCTGCTTTCGCTAAAATTAAAGTTTGGTTTAATTAGCTCCACAGCATATGCTCAAGAGATTCAGAAACTCAGTAATTCTACAGCTGTGTACTTTCAAGATTACCAGACTTCCAAATCCAGTGTGAGCTCATTTGTGGATGAGCACGAACCCTCGATGGTGGCAAGCAGTTGTATTTCTGTTATTAAACACTCTCCACAAAGCTCACTGTCCGATGTTTCTGAAGTGTCCTCGGTAGAGCACACGCAGGAGAGCTCTGTGCAGGGAAGCTGCAGAAGTCCTGAAAACAAGTTCCAGATTATCAAGCAAGAGCCGATGGAATTAGAGAGCTACACAAGGGAGACGAGAGATGACCGAGGCTCTTACACAGCATCCATCTATCAAAACTATATGGGGAATTCTTTTTCTGGATACTCACACTCTCCCCCACTACTGCAAGTCAACCGATCCTCCAGCAACTCCCCGAGAACGTCGGAAACCGACGATGGTGTGGTAGGAAAGTCATCTGATGGCGAAGATGAGCAACAGGTCCCCAAGGGCCCCATCCATTCTCCAGTCGAACTCAAGCATGTGCATGCAACGGTGGTTAAAGTTCCAGAAGTGAATTCCTCTGCCTTGCCACACAAGCTCCGGATCAAAGCTAAAGCCATGCAGATCAAAGTAGAAGCCTTTGATAATGAATTTGAGGCCACGCAAAAACTTTCCTCCCCTATTGACATGACATCTAAAAGACATTTTGAACTCGAAAAGCATAGTGCCCCAAGTATGGTACATTCTTCTCTTACTCCTTTCTCAGTGCAAGTGACTAACATTCAAGATTGGTCTCTCAAATCGGAGCACTGGCATCAAAAAGAACTGAGTGGCAAAACTCAGAATAGTTTCAAAACTGGAGTTGTTGAAATGAAAGACAGTGGCTACAAAGTTTCTGGCCCAGAGAATTTGTATTTGAAGCAGGGGATAGCAAACTTATCTGCAGAGGTTGTCTCTCTGAAGAGACTTATAGCCACACAACCAATCTCTGCTTCAGACTCTGGGTAAATTACTACTGAGTAAGAGCTGGGCATTTAGAAAGATGTCATTTGCAATAGAGCAGTCCGTTTTGTATTATGCTGAATTTTCACTGGACCTGTGATGTCATTTCACTGTGATGTGCACATGTTGTCTGTTTGGTGTCTTTTTGTGCACAGATGATGATGAAGATTAGATTGTGTTATCACGCTGCCTGTGTATAGTCTAATAGTCCATGCAAAGGCTGTATATATTGAACATTATTTTTGTTGTTCTATTATAAAGTGTGTAAGTTACCAGTTTCAATAAAGGATTGGTGACAAACACAGAACTCCGGCTCCATTGCATTTGATTTGATGGAAAAGAAAAATCAATTTAAGTTACAAAACTAAATATTAAGCTGTTTTACATTTTATATGGGGGAGTTTTCTCCCCTGAATAAGAGAAAACTGAAGTGCTAAGTTCAGCAAATAATTTGTTTTTCCAGGCTATCAGTTGGAAAACCTTCTGAAGAGAAAGAAAAGAAAAATAACAGTGAATTTTCTTGCATTCAAGACTAATTCACTAAATTACTTTATATTATATATTTTTCTGTAAAATTATGTTTTCTCTATAATTTTCTTAAGTATAAAAATCCAAGTTGTTTGGTAACAGCCTCTTCTTAGTTATCTACCCTTTAAGTATGACACATGGATGTGGGTAGTTGAGTCACTGACGCATTTTATTAAAGTCTGTTTTAAAAGAGTAGATAAAGACTGAGGATGAGGCATTTTTATGTTATTATAAGTCTTAACAGTTCTAGAGTATAACAACCTAGGGAACTAAGCTAAACACTAATTTTATTTAGTTGTTAAAATTTCAAAGAACACGTCAATTACCACATGCCAACATATATAATCTGAGTATATATAATGACATTTTAGAAGATTTGTTAATGATGAATAGAAAGAATGGCTCTATATCTTCAGATATTAGCTTAAAAATTATAACATAGAAGTCCAAAAAAAAAATCTTCCTAAGTAAATTGAGGATAAGACCATGATTGGTTATTTGTCCAAGACCCTCAGTTGCCTTATAGAAGTAAGCGTGGTCAAACGTGGACCCAGTGCTTCTGTTGCAGTGCGTGACTGGCATCTGCCTCTGCGTCTGGGATGGGGTGGAGTTGGGGGAAAGTTGTGGGGGTTGGTAGGCGGGCTGGGCATTAGTCAGGCACAGCTTTCTCCAGAGATAACTGCTCACTGAAGCCCTCTCCAGAATCATCTCTTTCCACACTGACCTCTTTTCTATTCTAGAAGTGGGTAAAAGACTTGAGCAGTCCTGGAACAGGTGCAGAGTGACAGTGACTCAGCCCTCACTTCTCACTCGCATCTCATGTTGGCAGGGAGGCAAAATGCAGGCAGGAAGAGCCCAAGGGTAGCATCCCGTTTTAGGAGTCTGCAGTCTTTGTGACTGCCCGCTTTGAGCACAAGCCTGATTTTTGATATGCTAAATTTCCTGCACTTTCATATTTTTAAAAAGCATGGTGCTTTGTATTAAAGGCACTGCCAGTAACACACACACACACACACACAGGTCATCCACTTTGTCCTTTCTGCCACAGGGGTCACTTTCCTCTCTGAAATCTGGCTCTTAGGGAAATGTGCCGCCTGGCTCCGCTCTTGGCCTTCTCTCTCCAGTATTTTACTAGTGGCTGGGTGAGGCTCAGAGGCCGACTCTTCTCATTTGTGAAAGTTATAAAGCAGGGAAGGAGAGCTAAAATATCCGATGGGAGTCAGGACCCAAAAGCCTTTGGCAGTCTAGATGGGTAGGATGAATCTAACAACACAAAATATAATAGGGATACAATGTAAGCCAGGTTCCTACATTAAAAAAAAAAAAAAAAAAAAAAACCTATCCAAATTCACAATTGGGAGAAAAATAATAAAATAACTACATTTTAAAAAATGAGTTTTAGTTCCCTCAAGCTTACTAAGAGTCAACAACGGTGGAACGCTGGGTTGTGTCAATGCAAATAGCATTCCAAGCACAGGTGGCTGTCCTCCGTACCTGGGGTGCACACTTGATAAGAGGAGCAACAGCAGACTTTCCAAAGGAGATGGGCGAGTTTGTAGCCGTGAAGTAAGATAAAACACTAAGATAACTATTGGTAAATTGTCCAAAAAGGGATCAGCCTTACACTCTGGGCTACTGAAAGGGAGAATAAGTAGATAATAGCAAGAAAGGTAAATCTCGAGTAGTTTTCTTTTTTTTTTTTTTGGAAGAACTTTGATCTCTCAGAGCAGTGCGGAAGCAAACAGCACCTTCCCCGGTAATCTGTGAATATTAGTGCTCATGGTGTGTAACACACTCAGGTGTCATCATTTGAACTCTTTTCCTTAGCCTTTTTTTGCCTTTTCAAGGATCGAAGTTATCATTGGGATCATGTTTAAAATGTGACTCGTGGCCGGGGGTGGTGGCTTACACCTATAATCCTAGCACTTTGGGAGGCCTAGGTGGGAGATTTGCTTGAGCCCAGGAGTTCGAGCCAAGACAGGGCAACATAGTGAGACCCTGTCTCTACCCCCACCCCCAAAACTCCCCCCAAATTAGCTGGGCATGGTGGCACATGCCTGTAGTCCTAACTGCAGGAGGCTGAGGAGGAAGGATTGCTGGAGCCCAGGAGTTCGAGCTGTAGTGAGCTGCAATGGCACCACTGCACCCCAGACGGGCAATAGAGCAAGACCTTACTTATCTCAAAAGAAAAAACATGTAACTCCTTTGGAATAAAAGGAATATCATCAACAAACAATTCCAATCCCACTAGAGACCAAGCAATGTAAAGTAAAATTACACCTTGACACTTTGGTTTCATGATGTTAACCAACCAAACACCACCGCCTCTCCTTCCCACTCACAGAGCCCCCAAGAATGACAGAAGATGTGTTGAAAACCAAATAAATGTATATTCAAAAATAAGAAACACAAACCTCAGAGCTCTAGAAGGTTTGAGAATTCCCAGCAAGCTGGCTATCTGGCCGGCCCAGGTAGTGGGAGGAAGCTGCAGTGAGGCACAACCCAAGAAAGCTCCCACTGGGTTCCGCCCCATGACTGAGCAGGGGAGGCCTGTGGGGAACCTGAGTGATCCTCAGGGGCATTGGCTGCGCGAGGACACAGCAGCCACAGCCACCAGCCAGGCCAATTGCAGTAGGGAGCCACGCAGGGCAGAGTCGGGGGGTCGGGGGGGGCCTGCGCCCCATAGCCCCCTGCTCCCCTGTGCGGTGCATGCCTGTGCATGCGTCCCGCAGGAAGGCTGCGTATCCTGTGTCCATTGTTTGGCCTTTTTCTGGTTTTCGGTTTTTTATTTTGTGCCCATTTTTATAAAGAAGAATGCTGAGACTCTGAGAGGTTGACTTGTCGGAACTCCCAGCTGGCCATCAAAAGCGGCGGTCACATCAGGCACTTTGTTCTTACCCCCATATACCCGGGAAATGAGACTAAGGGATCTCTCCAGCCTGCATGAGGAAAGGAGCGTCCAAAGTGGCTTTCCTCTGCCAATCAGTGAAACTGCTGTCTAAGCATCCACTTGTATAGATGTATACTAACTGTGTAATAACTATTCTTTTTTATCCTCAACCAGCAAACATTCCCAAATAAAAACAGACCCCATCAGTGTAGATCTTCCATTGCTCACGGATACGCACACGTGTTTCCTCTCCTGAAGTCAAATTCCTCACAAATAGGCACCTTTTTGACACACAGCCATTGTTAATTAAAACCTTAAAAGAAATCATGTTACATTTTTTAAAAAACTAGCAGCTATTAAGCTCATTTTTGAAAACTATGAATTATTTCTCAGAAATGAAAATCATTGGCAGCACCCACCTGGTGTTTGTTGTTCTCTGTTCTGTGGGGCAGAGGTGGGGAGCTGTTGAAGTGTAGTATAATTACCACTGAGATGTCTTGGGCTGGGCCACCAGCTACCTGCACCAGAAAAATTTAAATAAGAAAAACTTGTGGCCGTGTGTGGTGGCTCACACCTGTAATCCCAGCACTTTGGGATGACAAGGCGGGTGGATCACCTCAGGTCAAGGGTTCGAGACCAGCCTGGCCAACATGGTGAAACCCTGTCGCTACTAAAAACACAAAAATTAGCCATGTGTGGTGGCGGGCACCCGTATTCCCAGCTACTCAGGAGGCTGAGACAGGAGAATCACTTGAACCCGGAAGACAGAGGTTTCAGTGAGCCGAAATTGTGACACTGTACTCCAGCCTGGGTGACAAGAGCAAGACTCCATCTCAAAAAAAAAGAAAGAAAAAAAAAACTTGCCAAGGATGTGAAATTGTGGCATACTCAAAATGCCAGTGAGGATATAGAAGTAAGAGAATATGCAGAATTATGAACCATAGTCTTCCCAGATAAATGTACACGAGGATATCTTCTGGAAAGGTAATATAAAATACAACTGGTTTAAAGAGTCAGCCACGCATGGTGGCTCACATCTGTAATCCCAGCACTTTGGGAGGCCGAGGCGGACGGATCACCTGAGGTCAGGAGTTCGAGACCAGCCTGGCCAACACGGTGAAGCCCGTCTCTACTAAAAATACAAAAATTAGTCGGGAGTGATGTGTGCATCTGTAATCCCAGCTACTTGGGAGGCTGAGGCAGGAGAATTGCTTGAACCCAGGAGGTGGAGGTTGCAGTGAGCTGAGATGGTGCCACTGAACTCCAGCCTGAACAACAGGGCAAGACTCCATCTCGAGGGAAAAGAGAGAGAGAGAGAGAGAGAGAGAGAGAGAGAGAGCGAGCGAGCTTGGCAGTAATTCCCAGAGGTTGCTTATTTTGATTCTAGTGGACGTAAGGAAAAACTTAATTCAAGAACTAATGAAAATAAGACCCAGGGTAATATGAGCACTGGAGAACAGATGACACTTAGTGACGAAGAGGCGCTACTTAGAAAGTCGGGAGAGAGAAGCTGTCACTGCTAAGTCACGCTGGAGCCCGGCAAAGAGTGGTTACTGTCTGCTGAGTATCGATAAGGCTACAGACAGGCAAACAGAAGTACTTCTGTAGAGCATTCGAAAGGAAACTAGTTCAGCTAAGTAGCCCAGACAGGTATGACGGCTATTTTTTTACACCTCATTTTTGTCAATCTGATCCACTTGAGAAGGAAAAGGTTACTTTGGGAAAAATACCTTAATAAAGTCCAAGGTTCTGGAGGTCAAGAAACTTTTGAAAGAGCACATGGAAGAAATCAAGGTAGGAAAGGAGAGAGAAAAAGGAAGTTGTTCAAGAATAACATTATCTATCTAACAAAAGGGAGATGAAGAACAGGAAGGAAACTTTAATAACCC